CTTTGGCGCGCCGCCAGCTCGTTTGGCTGCACGCCAGCTTTCGCGCGGTTTGTTTGCATGCCGATCGGCGTCACCCGGCACCAAGGGGTTAATACTTGTACTGGAACTGTTTCCATCTCTCAAACTGATTGTCCTGTCCACAACAAAGACTGATCATGACAGTTCAAATTGCTCTGCTCAGTCATGCACATGTGACAATTGTGGTGGTTTCCAAAATGTATTTTATAGAAGCTGCTCTGCCTACAAGCTCAAATCTGAGGTAGCAGTTCTCAGAATCAAATCAGGCCTTACTCTAGGCCAGACAAGAAGCACGCCGAAGAGGTTTTTCTCTTTCTACCTATTCAAAAACTGTACTTCCCACTGCTCCCCTCCCATCTTCTCAAGAAGTCTCAGCATTTCTCCCAGTATCTCTTCCTTCTATCCTGAGCCAACCTATCTCTACTACCACTCTCCCCCAAACATATTCCTTTTCCAGTCTAAATCCAGATACTCCAATCTTTACCACTTCCCCGGTGCCTATCACTCCCCCTCCTTCTCACTCTACCTGTCACACCAGACAACCTAAACATTCCACTCCATCTTCTCCTTCCACATGCTCTCCTACACTACCTCTTCCTTTACATCTATTCCTTCTTCTTCACAGTTCCCTTATTTCATTCTCAGGATTCTTCTCCTACTTCCACAACTATCGTTTCTTACTGTATTACCATACAGTGTTGCTCTCGCTTCCTCAGACAGATAGTCTCCATTTGATCTGATTGCCCTATACCTATATCAACACCCTTTTACAAATCCCCACTGTATTCCAATTTTTCCCCTCTATACCCTTTTCACTAATAATCTATCCCACTGCATTCTACAACCTTTGACATCTAACACATCTTATCCTGATCATTAATTTATTCCACCCTTTTTGCCACATTACTTTACCATAGTGCTATATGACCTTTGGTGTCTAGCACATTTATTTCTTCAAATCATTAACCATTTTATTTACTCTAATATGATTTGTACAAAATTGGATTCAGTTGCATGTCTGAAGTCTACAGCTAAATTTATTAAATGTGAGAGTTGAAAACTTTACAGACATGTCCCAGCAACCTGTGGGAATATAAGTATAGGATTAAACTTTATATACTGAAGTATATAATTAGTATATATCCCTCTTTATTTTATTTTATTTTTACAGTGGAAATAAATGATGAGCACAGATAGGATATCATGGAGTCACAAACCAAAGATGAAGTATCAAAGGTAATTGAATACCTTCACTTGAGTCCCCAACTTCAGAGGGGCTCTATTAGGCCCCAGCATGGAAAAAGAGGAGAAGAAGAAGAAAAGGACTCCTTACCATGGGCAGATGCAGGGCCTCATAATGCATCAATACTGAGGACACAACAGTATCAGTCTTATCCTAATCTGTCAGTAAATGTTCCCATGCTCAATGTTCCCGTGATGTGTCAAAGCAATGCTGCATTATCAAAGGTAAAGTATCTGAAAGTCATTTAAGATTTATACTTACTTTTTAAATTGATTTTTGTTACTCAATTGTTTAGATTTTCCCAAATATAGGTCTGTTTGATAGTGGCAGTGAATGCTCTTGCACAGGTTGTAGATATGAAGTTTGCATTTCAGAATGCCATTTTAATTATTTGATTATTTGTTGGTTACCATTTGAATGACAAGTAATATTAGATTATGTTTTTTTGTTATTGACAAGCACAACTTTTGTAACAGAAGATTTTCAGAATTGTTACAACAGTCAGTATATGATTTAGAATGATTTATTTGATGTTGAGAATTTGTTTACGAGCCTTAGTATATTTCTTAAATCTAAGAGGAGGAAATACTATATCAATTCAGGAGTGGAGCAAGGATGTATATACTTTTTGTTTGTAAATGTAAAGAGTTTTGCATATAAACCTGTTGTTGACTAACATTCTTAACCCATTAACTGCAATATTAATAATTGGCTATGGCCAGTAATGCAGGGTTAGTAACATACAAGGGCAGTTTCCCCCGTTTACACCCAGCTTGTTCAGTAATTGAAGCACAACATTAAGTGCCTAATAGCTTGTAGTTCTATTTCATAAATGAAAGGTTTGGAAAATTGAAGGTTTGTTTGTGACATCAAGCAAATGATGTCACTACTATTGCAGAAATATGAGCTGTCTGAGGAGCCAATGGCATGAGGTATTATGATGCAAAGCCACCCACAATTTAGGCCCATCTTTTGCTATGGCATTATACTTGATATAATTAAAATTTCTTGGCCTGGAACATGAATATGTATGATTATATGTGTTAGCATATGTGCATACATGCAAGTACACATCCATGTGTACATGCATGTGCACATCTGTGTGGACAAGCATGCATATACACTAGCATAGGTTAGGCTTAGATTTCTGCCATGTGGAGCTTTTGTAATAAAGTGTCTTTTTTTCCAAAAGCAGCTGTTGAGAATTGCAATAATTGTTATTAATGGGATCATCTTATC